GTGGAGGCATGTGGCCAGGTGCCGGCTTTCACAGAAAGATGCCCAGGCTAAACCAGGTAGAAGTAGGGTCCAGTCCCTCTGCTCCCTAGCCCAGCCTGTACCGGAGGGCATCAGCAAAAAGCTGTGGTCTTTAATTTCGGCAATGCATCAGGATGAGGTCACGGGTGTTGTCAAAGCAGAAAAGGGGATTCTGAGACTCGGAGAGCACCTGTACTTAAAACACGGGCATGATAAGACTAAGCATGATTACATTAGGCAGAAAATGAGAGAAGTCGGTAGGTTAATTAACGAAGCAAAAACCGCAGGGAAACTGAAAACAATTAAGGATTTCTTTATTCCTTCCAACTTTAACCATGTGATTGATGCAGTCAGGTCTGTGGCTGGATATGATGAGGAAACAAATCAATACAAGACTCCATCCTTGGCCCTCAAACTCGGCCATAGCCTCAGAAAGCTAGCAGATATTCTTGAATGTGACTCAAAAATGGAGCATTGTGTTGATGAACTATTTATTAAAAACCTCCAACGAAGCCGGCTGCTTTTTGAGAAGAGGTGGGACGTCTGTGTTTCTTCTGCTGCCCTACAGACCCTCCGGCAAGCCAAGTGGAACACTCCGGACCTGCTCCCTCTGACTGAGGACGTTAGAGCCATGCATGCACATATTGAGGTATGTCGACCTGAATATGTGCAAACCCTAATAAGTGAGCCAACGTCTAAGCATTGGTCTAAACTGGCAGTTTTGACTCTTTGTGAGGTCATCATTTTCAATCGAAGAAGGGAAGGTGAGGTTTCAAAGATGCCACTGACAGCCTTTACCTTAAGAAGTAAGACTGGGATCCATTCTGACATTGCTCTGGGACTGTCCCAACTTGAGAAAAAGCTGTGTCAGCATTTTCAACGCATTCAAATTAAAGGGAAAAGAAGTCGGAAAGTGCCGGTTCTTTTGACTCCTGAAATGATTGCTTCGATGGAGGTGCTGGTGGAGAACAGAAGGGCCTGTTCCATCTCTGACCATAACCCATACTTCTTTTCCCGCCCGGGCGCAGACACCCACATCAGGGGATCAGACTCCCTACGCCAGGTAGCCAAAGAATGTGGTGCGGTGCATCCAGAGATGCTATCCTCAACCAAACTTAGAAAGCACATAGCTACTATGTCTACAGTTCTCAATATGAAAGAGAATGAGATGGACATACTTGCCAACTTCCTCGGCCATGACATTCGCATCCACAGGCAATATTACAGACTACCAGAGGGGACACTGGAGCTGGCCAAAATCAGCAAGTGTTGATGGCCATGGAGCAGGGAAGAGTGACGGAATTCGAAGGAAAGAGCCTCGACCAGATACAAATTGAGCCTGAAGGTAATTCTTGATATTATTAAAATATGTATGATTTTTTTCCCCTAAAGGCCACTTGTATTTTTATTTTCTGTGCGACAGGGAGAGCAGTAGAGATCCTCTCACAAACGGACGGGCTAAAAGAAACTTCAAGCGGAGAACCTTCAACCATTCATCCAGATGCACCCCATGGTAGTGGCAGTGCCCCTTCTGGTAAGTGTACCAGGTGGGGGATTACAGCCAGGCTGCTTGGTCCTCACCCTGGGAGTGTATATTGCTAATATATTTTTATTTCTCTCCCTAGAACGTGTAAGAAAGCCATGGTCTGCATCTGAGGTGAAGGCTGTGGAGAAGACCATGACACCTTTCATACAGACTGGAAAGGTCCCTGGGAAGTCTCACTGCCTGGCCTGCATTAATGCCTCACCAGATGACCTTAGACATCGGACATGGAGTGGCATTAAATTCTATGTCAAAAATAGAATCACTGCAATTCGAAAACAAAATCTAAAATAAAATTCCTTTAAAATAGTTGTTTGGTTTCTATTGACTGTTTTGTATTACTTAAAGTCTTGGTAAAAAAAGATTATGTCTATGGGTCCCATTCTGAACGGCCCTGTCAAAGGGACCCACCAGGTAACAAAAACGTGTATGTGTTACATGCCAGAAGGCTAATATATTTCCAATGTCATTATTGTACATGATATAATTCATGCATGCCTAATGCGGCTGCAAACATAAATATCTCATGGCGTGGACTATATTCTCAACTCAAGCACATCTCAGAGAACGCTGGAAAAGAGCAGTTTGCAGCTTTGACACTATCAAAGGCTCCCCTAGTCAGCAGCTGTCAGCAGTGGCAGCCACATGCCACAAAGAGATGACTAACATTACTGCACACCGCAATCATGCAAATCAAATGAAATGGAATGTGTCACAGTGACACATATCAGATCAGACATAACATTATGATCACTTTCCTATTGATGGTCAATGTATTATACTATTTAGCTTCATATGCTGGTTTAGACTGGTTTAATCAGACAGTGTGAGCTGCATTTCAAACACTACTGCACCTGAAATGTTGAGGTTTTGTGAATGTTCTGAGCCTATTCAGGTCTCAAACATGATCATATCAAAGGTCAGGAAGCATGGCAAATACATACAATCAAATCTGCTTTCTTCCTTTTACAGACATGTTTGATTTTATTGATTGACCTTTAGTTAAACAGGGAATTCCTGCTGAGATTATAGAATCTCTTTTTCAGGGGAGTCCTGGCCCCAGACAGGGGACAGGACTGGGACTATAGTACGCTTTTAGTGGTAGGGGAAACTGGAGCACTCTGGAGAAACCTGCGCAGACATAGGGAGAACATGCAAACTCCACAGAAAGTCTGTGCTAACCACTGTGCCGCAGCGGTTCGACATGTTAACACCAGCATGAATAGTGACAGAATGACCTGAACGATGCACTAATTGGGTACATCAATAATCAATAAACATTAAACTGAGTGAGAACTGGTTCAAAGGACATTGATTACATAAACTTACACAACAATTGCATTTTAATCTTTTTACTAATCTGCTAATCATTACCTGCTACGATTCAACAGTCGACTCCAACAGAAGCACATCATGTTTCAAATGATACAAATGGGAAAATATGTCTGAAGCGACGTGCTCTGATGACTTCACCTCAGATTTATCTTGCTCAAACAATATCATTTCTGCGCTCTAACAACTAATAGATAAATCCAAAGAATAATAATAATTGTTAGCTACACCCCTAATTGAAATTGTCATCTGTAACTGAGTTCATGGACGTATTTATTTGCTCAGGAAGTTCCTCCATTTGGACCATCTCTTAACGGCCATAATCCTCACAGCAAGCACTTCAAACGCCGCTTTATCGTAATGTTTAGTAAACCGCTCACCACTTTTCCTACATTTTAAACGCTGTCCAGGCCAAATTGAAACGCTCTGTAATTATCCGTGGCCAGAACAGGTTGAACTTGTTACCAGGCGAGGTGTGTCGACTTAATGATCATTTCAAAGTGATGACTCCTCCATCGAGCGACCACTGGGATTGAATGTTGTTATTATTCCAGCGAATCTGCATTGTACCGCGATATTACACTGACTGAGCAAACACACGTAGGAGGCAGTCGTCAATCATGGCTGATTAATGCCACCGCTAAGCCTCACATGGAGGTGGGAATGGCTTCTGCTGTGATCCAGGGGCCTTAAAGAGGTCATCGTCATAGTCAAATATTTCCCTTTGTTCGTTGGTGACATGACCGTGATCTTTATCAACATTGCCACATTTCAACTAGCCTGTATTTGCATAATTTGTAGAATAATGTCAGCTGGAAAAACCCCACTGGGAGCTGTGTTTTATTTGTCATTTGGGAGGTAATGAGATAAAGAGATTATAGATGTCAGCAGAGAGAGGCCCCCACACGCAGGATCTACATGGCATTAGGATTCAAATACATGTGGTAATGCATACATGTATTTGCAACAGCCGGATCAACTGTGACAAATGAAAACCAGAGCCTTTGCACAATATGAAACTAGAGCACGTCGATGAGGCTGTATAGTGCCCTACAGTAACAGTGGTTCCCAAAGTCGGGGGACACTAGCTGGGGGTTGTGAGACAATGTACAATTTCTGCATGATATTTCTGACAATACATTACTCAAATAAACAGCATTCAATTCAATGTATTCTTGTGTAGCCATAAATCACAACAATGGTTATCTCGGAGGACTTTACACAGCCGTTGAAATTGCCAACACATATCAGAGAATTAAACAGTTCCCACACAATAAATAGATCAGAAAACACATTGGTACTGGTCCATAAGAGGCAGATGACCTATATCCAGAAGTGTTGATAAATGTCCATAAATGTTATGGACATTATAATCAATGTAGCATGCTAAAAAAAAAAGTCATTTGATTATTCCTAACTATCAATTACTGAAGTAGTTGTGAATTAATTTAGTGATCGATTAAGCAGTTTTTTTAACCTTACAGAGAATTACCCATGCTGAGAAGGTTATGACTGGTATAACAATCAAACAACCTAATGTGTAACAAGTAACTCTATGAAGATATTGTTGGTCAAATGCCCACAAAAACCTCATATTCATTAACCTTTCGAGGTCAACTACTTGATTATCATATTTTTTAGCAAGTGCATAAGCCTCTAGTACCCCTAGTACCCAATAACACCATAACACAGCACTAACCAGTCATGGATTCATAGCAATGTATCTAAATAGCAGAACATATCCCCAAAATTGGCAAAAGAAAAACTTCACTTTATGTTTAAAACTGATGACTTACTGTATCAGGCCAGTTGGTAAAGCTACTATGTATTTTGTCCAGAAAAAACAGACACAGCTACTTTGGCACAAGTCTAAACTATACTTTTTTATCAGTCAATGATTCACCATTAGCAGAATTGAGCCCTAATTGAATACTCTCAATGTCAAGTCCATTGGCATTGCCCAACAAGCACTTTCCGGTGTCTACTTGACCTCCAATCACAGTTAATGACCGACAATCAGCAGTCCACTCCATGCAGAGGAGTACGAGTGGGCCCCCCCAGCATGCACACTTTAGGGGCCACTCCACAGATGTACCAAACAGCCCAGTCAGTCTAAGGTAATCACAACATGCACCAGCTCTCTTACCTCCAGGCGCTCCAGGCTGATGAAACTGGAAATAGCAAATCCATCAATGATATCTTCCTCCTGTGAGCTGGACTCCCTCCTCTTCCTCCTGGGGGCTCTGGAGGCTGCGGGGCGCGGTGCCTTTTTAGCAGGCTCCCTCCCTGGACTGCGCGCCTCCCTGTCGGAGCAGGAGGAGTGGTGGTGGAGCTCTGGGTTGCAGTGGGTTTCTCTGCTCCCCACTTCCCTCAACCTGCGTACTCTTTCCCGTTTGGTCCGACCTCTCCGACCCGTCCCTGGCTTCGGCTTCAGTTTTGCATCCATGATTTGCTAGAAAGCGCTGGGTAAACTGGCCAATTTTACAACTCTATACTGTATGATCCCCCCCCAAAAAACACAAAAAAGCGCACAGAGAGGAGAAATGTTATGGTGCGCTCTGGTGTGGAGATGTGTGTGTGTGTGTCTGTGTGCATGTGTGTGTGTCAATATGTGTGTGTCTGTGTGTGTGCCTAAACAGCAAATATAGCTTGTAGCGCTCAGTGACCTTGAGTAAAAACCTCCCCAATCTCCATTACGATAAGAAAATGTTCAAGTATCCCACATGCGCGTTGGCAAAGAGGATCCACGCGTTCAGTGGGTCACGGAATTGCGCGATGGCGACGTCCAGGCAGGTGCAAAACTGTTCACAATCCACGCATTAGACTCGCTTCGGAACTTTTGTAGCATCGGAATAACAACAAGCGATGAGGCAGCCTGGCGTGCTCGCTGCTACGCACAGACAGCGCAAAGGAATCATGTCGCTGCTGCTGCTGCTGCTTCTGCTGCTGCTGCTGCTGCCCGCTCTTGTTTTTCCACCAGCCCGATCCATGACCCAGTGCTGTCAAACGCAAAGAGCATACAATCCGTCCGAAAAACCAAGCGATAGTATCTTGCGTAGTCGTCAATACTCCCGCTGACTCTTAGGGCATATTCCTCTCTGTATACGCGCGCCCTCAGTGGATCCAAAGTGTATTATTCCCCTTGAACGAACTGAACCGTCCGAATGTAAAACGCACGCATCCAGTGAGTGATCAAACTCCATGAGGCGACGAAAGCGGTCTATTCCAGTTCAGATCGCGCTGACTTCCCCATAATCCAGCTCCAGTCCTGGTCCTGGTTGCTCACAGTCTCTCTCTCTCTCTCTCTCTCTCTGTGTCTCTCTCTCTCTTTCAGCGGCTGGCGGTATTTCTATTGCACATAATAAGGCTTTGATAAGTGTCCTTAAAGCGACAGGAGTGATTAAAAAGCTCCTCCCTCCCCCCCCACCTCATTCCCTTCATCCGAAATTAAGAGACAGAGTCAAGCTTCAGAGAGAACCCACAGAAACTGACGCATTTCCGCCGCTTCTGGTCTACAATTCAGCCGAGGAAGGAAGCATGGTGTGAGAGGAGAGAGGCAGAGCAGGAGGGATCATGCACTCTGGTGTTTTTGGCACATGCCTGTGTCATGCAAACAGTGCTCAGCTGACACCCGGGGAAGAAAAACAATAAAACTCAGCTCTGTTTCACTTTTGACAACTGAAAAAAAGGGGACAACAGCCTGCCTGGGGTAATTGTGTTGAATATTGGTCACAGTACTTGACCCTGACCGGTGTGGCATCAAGTCCCATGTATACAAGAAGAGGAGGAGGGGGAGGGTTGCAGGGAGCTCCCACAGGTTCCCAGGGGAAATCCAGGCAATTGACTGCAGGAAAGTAAAATAGAGCCGCACTTCAATCAGCAGGAATGAGGACAAGGCTAATTATATAGTCGTGTTCGTGATGGTGATCTAGTAAGTGCCGTCACAACACTTGTAGAATGTGTTCAAGAATGTATTTGGAATGTATTATAGGTTGTGCGTCACTGTGCATGGTTAACAAAGAGATTTCACTGCAAAAAATATGTAATTAAAAACAAAATGAGGGAATAATTGCTAGAATGGAGTGTTTTTTTGTCTCAATTTTAATACATTTGGACTGTCTGAAAACCAGATTTGCTAATGAGACAAAGCCATTTAGTCTCATTTCAAGAACTGTGACTTTATTTTCTCATTCCAAGAGAGACATTTCTTGTGTCTTTTTAAAACAGGATCATTTTGCTGGTCCCATTGACGAGTCTTGTCAAAATGTAGCAGTCAAAATGTGCTGAAATTAAGATACATTTAGCCAAATTTGAGCAATTTACTGTATGACTTTGACTTTTTGCCGCGTTGGTTAAGTCGTATACCTGCACACAATGTACTCTTTAAAACAATACATTCATTATTACAGCAATATTTGTAGCTCTGAACTGCAACTGAAAGATCAAGGCTATGCTCACACTCAGAGAGCAGCCGTCCTCCTGTGGACTCACCACCTGCAGAGGATCAGTGAGGGGCTGGTGCTATGAGACTTGGGTGGCATCTCTGACTGCCACCCCCCTGACCCAGAAATGGATTAAAGGGTAGAAAATGGATGGATGGATGGATGGATATTTGTAGCCCATGTTTACAATCTCTTACTCATAGCGTTTAATTACGTATCAATATTCATTTTTTTGTAATCATTTATGCATTTTCCAACATGAATACACACACACAGACACACACACATATCCAAAACAACCAAATCCCCACACAAATCCATACACTTTACATCACTTTTAGTACTTAAACAGCAAAAGCATTTCTTTGGTTCTATAAAACGTGTCAGCCGCTCGCTCCCCCGATCTTACTGTTGACAGAGCCACCGATACTTTGCACTTTTTAATATTAAGTCAGACACTGAGGCTGTGAAATGATATAGTGCTACTGTAATACCAGCAGCTTAATATGGTTAGGAGCTCATAAAGGGAGGTGTGAGCAGAATACATTAGAGGCGTGTGGATATTGCTCGGAATCCTACCAGTTGTGATTTCATTTCCACTTGACGGAGAGAAAGAAGCCAAAACAGGTCAAAAATACTCAACAATCAACACGTTTTTGTCTTGCAGTGACATGTATGGTTTCATTTTTAGCTTCGGGAACGCCACCTAACGAACCTGTTATGAATGACTTATCCATAACAATGGCGGCTTATTCTATTGTTTAATGCGGACAATGCTGTTTCTAATCTTGAGTGTTTAAGGGTAATTTGCTTCATTCATGATATTTCACCCCAGAAATATAGGATAACAATACAGGCATTGTCTTTGCAGATCAAGCAATCAATCCAATGATTTAATTGTATAGCACTGTGTGTATAATTATGGGGTGGGAGTCTGCAAGTTTTTACTTCTTTCCCACTCCATTTTGAGCTGATAAATTGTGAACTAAAGAATCATATGTAAACGATGCTGACTAACTAACTTTCCTCCCACCCTTCAAACCTTTTACCGCCTATACCTGTATCCCTACATGTATGTTTACCTGTATGTCTACCTGAACGTCGATGTATGTCTTTGTGTCATTTATGTTGTTTTGTATGTCCTTTTTTGTTTTCTGCAACAACAACAACAACAATTCCATGTGAGTAGAAATGTGTTTGTAAATTTATATTAAAACACATGGTGAAAATGTGGTTGCTTGTATGATTATGTCATGATATAGATTTATGTCATGTAAACTGAGGAATGTAAATATGGTAACATGTAACATTTCTGCTCAAATTAATAACATCTATCGTTATTAAAACAAGTTTCCAAAGTGATGGGTTCAGAGACAAAACAGAGACAGTAACAAATTTGAATACACAAGTCTGCCAGCTTTATGTATAAAATAGAAGATCATAATATTAAGCTACAATACAAACTATTGAGTAGGTACCCCATTATGGTATTTGAATGCATGAATTCTTGAAGTGGGTGTTCTTTGAGCTTTCAACCATGTTACAACTTTGTTCCCTCTGCCGCTTCTGTCTAAATGCTCTGATCTCACACTTGGAACGCTATGCTGAATCCTTATAAGGATTATATTATGCTCTGAAAGAATTATTAATCTGCCTTTGAGAACAATTGCCACCAAATTAGTTTTGGTCATTTCTGTAGTGAAATTACGGTCTGTATTTGCAGAATTTAATGTTTGATACGGAATAAGTGGTAGTAATAAGTGGGAAATTACACACGAGTAAGAAAGTAATTTTTATCCTTATTACACCAACACCAGACTCATTCTAGGCAATATGGGTTAAGTTTCTTGCCAAAGGACGCAACAACAATTTTGCACTTTATAGCCGCACCCTGTGATAACTGGTGTTCCTAGAGGTCTCCCATCACAGCTGCCCTGCACAGCTTCAGACAGGATCTGGCTTTTGCATGTAAGTATGGCCATAAAAGAGTACAGATAAAGGAGTAGCAATTGAAAAATGTTGGGGACTCCTGCCCTTGTGGCATTGTAGGATGGGTCAAATGCAGAGGACACATTTCCCTATGTGAGACAAAACACTACGCCTTAAAGATTGAAGCCAAATATTTGCCTTTTGCACCAGAACCTGAGTTGGTGTCACTTCCATGTTTCTCTAACCTCCGACCACGATGAATACACCTCATTGTTTGAGCATATTTCAAAGAACTAATTCAGTAAGGCGATTAAACAGAGTGGTGGTATGTGTGCACCATTGATACAAGGGGGGCGAGGTATAAGGGAGAGTGAAGTGGGGAGATTAGCCGTTTCTTCCTTGCTACAGTTTGCTGTGGGCTTAATCCTCCTGCTCCTACCTTGCACCATGTATAAACGCTCGGCTTCTGTTACAATATTGCACATATAGAGCCATGTTTGAGGATCCTTAAGAGACTATTCTTCCACTTTATTTTTGAACAGTCTTTGAGGTGAAGGCTGATACTGCTGTGAGGGCTATTTTTCATTTAGATATAGCCACGATTGTGACGTCGGAGATCTGAAATAAAGAAAAATCTTCTCTCAACTGAGCCGCGTTATCTTTTGTAAAGAATATAGCTGCGCACAAATCAATAGAGTGGATTTTGGACTAGAACAGTGGGCAGCTGTAAGACACACAGCTCCTTGAACTGTGCAGGAGAAAATATATTCAGTTTGGAGTGTGATTTTGTATGAGTGGAACGGCTTCATGGAAGAAGAAATGGTTCAGAATAAGAGGACTTTGTGTTCTTGGTTTAGGTTTATTTCCTGTTTTGTTTTGTAATTTGTTTTTGTAATTTTTTCTTTACTGAGTCACCGTGTCCCGATGCCTCATGCTGCTAATGTACACTATGCTAACATACAGCCAATGTACAGATACTAACATACTGCTGCTAACATGTACAGATATAAACGTACTGCTGCTAACATGTACAGATGCTAACATACTGCTGCTAACATACTGCTGCTAACATACT